GAGAAAGTATAAGATGAGACTGGAGCATCTTACAGTGCCAGAAAGTACAAAAGTGCTAAAAGACAAACGTAGGGAAGGATCACTTGAGGCCAGAAGCTCAAGGCTGCAGTGAGCTATGATCTCCCCACTGCGCTGACAGAACAAGACTCCATCTCTAAAAAAAAAAAAAAAAGAAGAAGAAGAAGAAGAAGAAGAAGAAAGAATCACAAAAGTAATTGTGTTGACTTTCAAGCTTAAAATGTTAATGACATCCAAAATAGTTCACCATAAGGTCTGCATTGAAAGACTGGCCTAGGAGCTCTAAAATGGTAGATGAGTATGATGAATATGATCCCCTATGTATATCAGTGTGCTTTATTACCCCATTTTTGCAGGGGTGAGCAGGTCTGGCTCTTTCAGCAAGGCTGAAGTGCAGTGGCACAATCATAGCACTGGAGCCTTGAACTCCTGGAATCAAGTGATCCTCCCACCCCAGCCTCCAGAGTAGCTGGGACTATAGACACATGCCACCACACCTAGCTAAGTTGTTGTTTTTGTTATTTTGCTGTACACTAAAATTATCTGGTGACTTTTTTTTTTTTTTTTTTTTTGAATGGAGACAGGGTCTCACTATGTTATTCAGGCTAGTGTCAAACTTCTGGCCTCAAGCAATCCTCTACCTCAGGCTCCCAAAGTGCTGGAATTACAGGCATGAGCCACCGAGCCCTACCATCCCCCTTCTTAACCTTAATCTTAACTGTCCTCAACCCACTCACTCCTAGCAGTAAGTCTACAATAACCTGGTTCTAAAAGTGCTGCTTAGAAAGACAAAGTGAAATCAGTGAAATTTACTTGGTTTCCTTTTCAAATTGACTATATAAATGAACTGCCTTCCAGTGGGTCAAAATGTTCCTCTCAGATTTTCTCACATCTTAAGGAAATCTAAAAGCTACATAGCGACTACTCACGCTTAATCTTAAAAAAAAAAAAAAAAAAAAAAGCAAAGTGATTCCAAAAATTTTAACTGTCAAAAGCGAAAGTTTACAGAGCCAAAGGATTGATCACCACATTCAGAAACAAGACTAGGAAAGAACAAGATACTGTGAGATCAGGAAGAACCTACTCTCTGACTAAAGCTAAGCTGCCTATATATAAGAATATCCAGGTGCTTCCTTCACTGTCAGGAAACAATGGAGAATGATTTTTAAATAGGTAATATAAATGTATTTGTAAATTTGAAAATTTTAACAAAGGGATGCTGGAATGACAAATACTTGAAGAGACAACTTTAAAAACAAGTGGGACAGAGTAGGAAAACGTGTTAAGACACTCTCCAACACTGTGTGTCTTTACATTGGGGAAAGGGAGACTCACTAGACTTTTGTTCCTTGATTAAAACACCCATAAGGCCAGGCATGATGGCTCATGCCTGTAATCCCAACACTCTGGGAGGCCCAGGCAGATGGATCATCTGAGGTCAGGAGTTCAAGACCAGCCTGGCCAACAAGGTGACACCCCATCTCTACTAAAATTTCAAAAATTAGCCAGGTGCAGTGGCTCACGCCTGTAATCTCAGTACTTCGGGAGGCCAAGGCAGGTGGAACACAAGGTCAGGAAATCAAGACCACCCTAACACAGTAAAACCCTGTCTCTACTAAAAATACAAAAAATTAGCCAGGTGTAGTGGCACGTGCCTGTAGTTCCAGCCACTCAGGAGGCTGAGGCAGGAGAATCGCTTGAACCCAGGAGGCAGAGGTTGCAGTGAGCCGAGATCGCGCCACTGCACTCCAGCCTGGGCAACTGAGTGAGACCCCATCTCAAAAAAAAAATATATATATATATATACACACACACACACACACACACATACACACAAACACACACACACAAATTAGCCAGGTGTGGTGGTGGGTACCTATAATCCCAGCTATTCAGGAGGCTGAGGCAGAAGAATCGCTTGAAACTGGGAGGCAGAGGTTGCAGTGAGCCAAGATCATGCCACCGCACTCCAGCCTGGATGACACAGCGAGACTCCATCTCAGAAAATAAAATAGAATAAAATAAAAATAAATGGCCGGGCATGGTGGCTTGCACCTGTAACCCCAGCACTTTGGGAGGCCAAAGCAGGCGGATCACTTGAGGTCAGGAGTTTGAGACCAGTCTGGCCAACATGGCAAAACTCCGTCTCTACTAAAAATACAAAAATCAGCCGGGTGTGGTGGCACATGCCTGTAATTCCAGCTACTCATGAGGCTGTGGCAGGAGAACTGCTTGAACTCAGGAGGTGGAGACTGCAGTGAGCTGAGATCCTGCCACTGTCCAGCCTGGGCAACAGAGCAAGACCCTGTCTCAAAAATAGGTAATTAAATAAATAAAATTTAAATTTAAAAAATACCCACTAAGAATATCTAGTGCCTTTCCAATTCTATAATCAACTACCTTTATTTACTGATTAGGCAGCCCAGAACAATGGAGGTGTCCTGGTCAGTGGATAATTAAATCCAATTGTGCACATGGCACTTAATGCTTCCAACATACATTAACCAGTATCTGGTTTATCAGTCTCTGGTGAGTTTGTTATTTTGCATGAATAAATTCCAAGCACTTGAATCATCCCAATGTAAACCAAAATTCTGAAGTTTCTGAACTACTATGTGGGGGTTGGAGAGACCTTGGTTTGGTTGGATACTACTTTCGCCACTTAACTATCTGTGTGACCCCTTATTCCCATCAGTCTCAATCTCCTCATCTGTTAATAAATACAGCTAGTGACTGGGAGATGGCAAGTGCTCAAAAAGTGACAGCTTTATTATTTTGAAGCTAAATTTGAAAGGAAGTGTATAACTGAGGTGAAAACATTTCATTTGAAAAGAACTAGTACAGATCAGCAAACTACGTCAATTTAAAAGACACAGTTTGAAGAGAGATGTCCCAATCTATGGAGTTGAGAAAAGTAAAGTTTAAAAGTTGCAAGTAAAGTACACACTGCACAGTACAGACGGGAGTCTCCTGCTTAGCAACTCTAATGTTGTCTACCAAACACCCAGCTTGTAATAGAGCATGACAACTGTTCACTCTAAATCCATGTGCTCAGCTTGGATTCAGGATTGATTTATAAAAATAGCTGCTGGTGGTGCTCTTTGAATCTCTCTGCGCTGATGACTGGGCAGTGTTACCCTACAGGCCTAGAGCAGCTGTATTCCCTCACCACACCCATTTCTCTGTCTACCCAGCCAAGCTGACGGCACCCTGCCCCCGCCCCCCATCTCTACAGCATACTATTCTCCCTCCTCCTGGGCTGAGTGAGCAAATTACAAGCACAAATATCCCCTGATGCAATGCCACAACCATCCCTGGGAAAGAGCAAAGGCAGTTGCCAAAAGCACAGCAGCAGGGAAATGGGCGGGAGACGCGCGCGCACGCACACGCGCGCACACACACAAACACACACACACACACACACACACACACACGCAGAGCAAGAAACGCTGCAATACTATGCAGCCAGGGAGAGAGAATTGAGAGGCCCTGGGGAGCAATGCTGTAACAGGACCAGAGAACGCAAAGGAGAAAAGGGGGTTTCCAGTAGAAAGCTGGGTAACACTAACCTTCCCGAGAAGCACGTATTTCATCCGAGTTTGGGTTCTAAAGCACAAACCTATAAGGTAATCAATCACTGCCTCCTCCCCAAAACAGCAAATGAATTTAATTTACTCGTTCCTGGAAGTAAGCAAAACTCTCACAACTCTTCCACAGGACAATTTCACCAAAGGGATCTCACACCGGCAGAGAACTTGTTCCATGTGCTAAATCACAATCTCTGTTCTGGGTAATGTTTCCAACTGCCCCTCCTAGTCCCTGTACCCTCCCCACCCCCACCCTAATGCGACCCCTTCGCACTCCCACTGCCAGACACACGCTTTAGTCCCCACACAGTGCTGGGGCCTTTGCATGTGGGAAGAGCCCCGCCTAGGGCCCGGTTCTCCAGACCACCCCTCAGCCCCACCCATAACCCCTAACTGGACACACTAAGGCTGAATTCAGCCTCACATCAACTAACCCCCATAAAGCCTCAGAAAACGACCTCTGAGTTCTCCTACACCCCCGAACCCCACCCAAGGTCCCAGACTGTGGCCGACCCTCGCTCCGCGGCTCAGCCCCATCCAAAGCCCGAGGCAAGTCGCTCTGCCCCACCGCCCCGACCCTCAAAACTGGACCTCTCAGCCCCCCTCAATCCAAGAACCCCCCAGATCGCGCCTCAAAGACTCCGAAGGTCACGGCCGCCGGCCCCCCGCCTGGCCCCCTCTCTCGGACGCCCC